GGGAAAATGCACTACATGTGGCAAAAAGTTGCATATTTAAAGTTTTGTGGGCAGGTTTTTTTTTTTAAAAAAAATTACTGATTTGACATTTAATGTATCTATGCTTGATTTACTAATTATATGTTGTATGCACTAATTAAAACTAGGAAAAACTCATTCCAATTTTTGGCCCAGCTTTTTATACGCATATTATTTATTATTTGTTTTATATCAGAATAACCTTTTCAAATAAGTAAAAACTATTCAATTTCAAAGGTTCATGATACAAATTTTAAACATTTTATAATTAATACTTTCTTAATTTAAATACTTTTTTTCTCTTTTGACTTTAAGGCTATAAATGGTGATGAAAAAACATTCTTGCTCATAATTTTGAAATAAAGCTACTGAGTTTTATTAATTAAAACAATGAGATTGAAATAGAACAATATTTTTTCATTTAATCCCACGAAAAAAAAATTTGGAAATCTTTTGGCAAAACATAGTTACTTTCCTGTAAATAATATATATTAAATATATTATAAATTCCTGTTTTATTTATATATTAATTATTGTTTTATAATATATTAAATATAATTATATATATATTAAATTCCTGTTTTGAAAATGTCTGTTTAGCATAATTCCAAAATAGGATGTCACTTGAATTAAAGTTATAAAAATGGCAAAGTGTAAAATATGGCTAGTTTCTTTCAATTTCTAAAGTTGCATTATTAAATATATATTTAGCCAGTCTATCTACGAACAAAAACATTTTAAGGTTTCTGTTTCTCCATAATGTTGATCTGCATATGAAGCAAGAACTGTAAGTTTAATAGGATATTCTTCTTTGAAAGGAAGTGAGTATCTTGGAAAATTAAACATTATGCTTTTTTCTACCACTTGCTGAAACTTGCTAGGAGAGTTTTTAAATACACATATGATAAATAAGTATTTCTTACTTTCATGGGAAAGATGCTTTCCAAGCGATTCAGTTTTGCAAATGTGTTCTTATTCACTTTATGCATATAAGATCCCTCTACAGATTGGATGCATTAAAATATTGAATGAAATCTTTTGACATGGATTTGATTTCTGATATTCATCATGGCAGCCTTCCACATGTTTTTGTGAACGTTATACGTATAATATTTGAACCAGAAGTTATATAGAAAGAGCCTTCAATATCTAGTGACAATGAACAGAAGTACTTACTACAGTATGTCAGTTTTTAAAACTGAGCACTTAGTTTTAGCCTCACACATTTACAAGAAGCCATGATAAAGAAGGAAAACCTTATTTCTTTAAAAGATACACAATGCAGCCAGTGTGGAGCTTATACTTAATGTCTTAAGTTATATAAGCTCCACACTGACTGCATTGTGGCACTAACAGCAGAGTTCAAAATTAATGTTTTACAACTAGAATATTGCGCATATAAATTTTGTGTAATCTGATTTCTAAGCATAAGGCATGTACTCATGCATACATGTATGTGTGTGTATATGCACATGCACATATGTAGGCATGTACTCATGCATACATGACACACACTAGATATACTGGTTTATAACATCCACCTGTAATTACAGAATACATTTTCTTATTTTTAGCTATACTAACCATATAAGGTACACCCTTTACTTTACAAGGAAATCTGAAAAATATGTGTGCAATATTCTTATCTTTTGAAGTCATCCATTCGAAGATTTTTCACAGGCTTTCGAATAATGGTATGCTGATCTGACAAGCAATAAGGGAAACAGCAGGCTTGTTGACGAAATGCTTGAGGGAATAAATAATTCTGCAGAGAAGGTGGGTTGTATTCAATGCAGATGTGCACAACAATGTTATTCTAGCCCTCTAAAGGGCATAAGTGTGTTTATCCGGTCATGAATTTTTTATGACTTGGTATATACACTACCTACGAACAAGTATTTGAACACCTGTGATAGAAAAGAGAAACAAAATTTATTCATGTGCAATATTTGGTAGAGCTTACCAGAAGCAGCAATTACAACCTGAACCCACCGGGCATGGTTTCAACAAGTCCTTGTATGACGGCTGCTGAAATTTTCTTTCACTTGCCTTGGAGAAGACATGTCAGATTCTTCACCGAAATATTAGACGGTTGTTGCACCAATTCATTCGGTGATCGAACTTCTAAGATTTCTTAGAACAGCTGGCGATGTCATCCTGAAAGTAACATGATCCGAACCATAAAACCACCACAACCTAGGAAGCACATTATCATCCAAAATTGTGTATTAGGCATCAGTGTTGAGTTTACTGTGAATTTTAATCAAGGCTCAGTGCATACAAGAAGAAACAGCCCAGACAATAATTCATCTCTATCGAACATTACTGTGGGCACAACACATTTTGGTAGCAGACATTCTCCAGGCAGATGGCCAGGCCCAAACCCTACCATTTAAATGACGGATGGTGAACTTAAATGATAGGTGGTGAACCTAGATTTGATGCTCCAGAGAATGCGATACCACTGATCAATATTCCACTAATGGCATGCTTTGCACAACTTTGAATGTGTATGCCAGATGGACTTCGTGATCAAAAGGCCCATAGGCAGTAGCACGACTTTGAAAACATGGTAGATGTGTTTTCTTATAGCTAGTATTCATTGAAGCAACACTCCTGGTTGCTTGTTGAAAGTCCTGGACCATGTTGGCCATTGGTTGGGTGTGTTTCTTACGAATATGACTTGACAGAAGCTGGCAGTCCTTTCCCTCAGTTTGGCTGCTCCGCCGACTCGAAGCACATTCCGATAACCTCCGCATATTTTCCACTTCTCAATCACATAGGCTACTGTTGAATTTGTTAATTTCACTCACTAGATATGCATCTTGAGAATCGGCCATTTTTCTGATACCTGACAATTACACCCTTCCTGAAATCAGGTAACTCTCTATTTTGCAGCATCTTGCATGCCAGTAATGCCAATGTTTTTTTCTACACAATGTTTAATGGTGGAAGGCATGACATATATCGAGACCACAGAAATCGGCATTTCCACGGGTGTTCAAATACTTACTGGTAGATAGTATATTACCTCATAATTTATTATATTTTGCTTTCTTACTTACTTTAATAATACACATGATAAACAAAACACACAAAGTGCTGGTTTGAAATGCGGAGTTATACAGTTTGCAAAAGAAAATGGAATTTGTGCAACAGAAGGTTGCTTGGCATTGGTGAAAGCTCCACATATGAGCAGAAGAAAGATTAAACCACATAATTAATATGCTCGAGAATAAGTGTGCCCTTTGCACAATGGGGTAACAAAGATTCCCTATCCTAAAAGAAAATAATGTAAACTAGGTGTTGACAGAATTACATTTAACAAGAAACAACTTATGATTATTTGCATTAAAGTAACCAAAAAAAAAAAAAATGTACAAAATGAAAGTAAAAACTTGAAAAGCAACTTTGCATTGATGTTGTCGATTTATGACATTGAATAATTTATTCTACAAGAAAATGTAAGTTTCGCACACATTTCTGAAAGATTTTGACAACAGACTCAAAAGTTTCCAAAACAATGTTATTGACTTATGAAGGCAAAATAATTGTTTATTGTCACATATTGGAAATATGGAACAAATTACAGTTATGTGCCTAATGATAGGAAATGAAGATAATGATGTGAAAGTAACAAAAGCAGTTCACATAAAATCCCTGAAAAATTTCACCTCACTCTAGAGGTTTCTTGCTTAATGGGCTATATAAAATTAAAACCCATAGTTATACTTAAAAGAAAGGCAATGCCAAAATGTTATGTCCCAGTCAATATTTTCATTTATGTTCATGAAAAAGAATGGGTAGACAGAAACGGTGTGAAACTGTGGTTAAGAAATGTTTTACAAAAGCATCCTGTTTCCTAAAAGAATCCAGAAAGCCTTTTCATTTGGGACATATTCGGATTCCAATTTACAGATAACAAGAGGGTATTATTAAAAGAATAATACAGGTATACTTGTGGATACATACCATTAGTTCAGCTTTAGATGTGATCATCAATAAACTATTAAAGAAAAATTTAAATGACAGTAGGATGCATGGATGCTAGAAGATGAAACAACTTAAACTTAAACTTCCTTTATATAAAGGAAGTCAAATGTGTCATAGCAGTCTAGCAATATTGACTGATAGATAGCAAAAGCATGGAACGAAATTAAACCTGATATAATTCAAAAGACATTTAAAAAGTGTAGTATATTTAACCATCTACATAAACAGAAAATGAATGTTCATTTAAGAATCAGAGTAACCATGATGGTAAAGAACAGAATTCCATGATGTACTAAAGATATACCGGAAGACAAATATCACAAAATGTTCATGCTACCTGATAATGGAAATCTTTTAGTCCATAAGGTATATGTCATTTCTGTTACACAAACACCATTAAGGTATGATGAAGAAATTTAATTTCTATATGTAATCTTTTATCTTTGAATCTAATATTTTTATATCCAACACATAACACACGCTCGTAAATTTTGATCCCACTTTTTGTATTAAAAGTGTACCTCATATGCCAGAATATATGGTACATACATGCATATAGAAGAATACTGAAATTTCCTTACTGATATTACTTAAGTATTACTGAATACTTAAGTGCCCTACAGCACTTAAGATGTCACAAAATATATCTCACACCCTGGTACTTTTTACAAAAATGTTGTGAAAAATGTATTTCAGTGTGAAATATGACTGAAATTTTCATTCAGTGAATATGCTTAATAGTTCAAACAATTAAAATGTGAGAAATGCGCTATCCATAAATGTTATCCGACTCTGAATAAATAATCTGAATGAAAGTTTAAGGCAGCATATTCCCCCACTTTACAGTGCGGAAATATGCAGCTTTAAAGCTTTCATTAGTAGTTAAATACTTAAGATATGAAAATATTGTTTTAAGTCAGCAATACTTCAGAATGACTTCTATCGAACATTGCAAAACAAGACTTTTCTCTTGTAAAAGAAAAAAAAAAAGAAGATTTAATATTAATTTAGAAGAAATGACAAATTACACACTACTAGTATAACGAAATTTCTTTCCTGCATGAACAAGCCCTTACTATACAAATAAGAAAAAGTTCTTATTAATCTAACTTTTCCGTAAAAGAAAATAAATACGTCTTCAACCATAAGTTATTTGTTACATATGCGACTCATGAAGTTTTTCTCCGGTTTCAATAAGCATATGCTTTCTTAAAGAACTCTTCTGTCTAAATGATTTGTCTACTGTGTGAATATGCATATGCTTCTTTAAAGAACTCTTTTGTCCAAATGACTTATTACATATATCACAAACATGAAGTTTCTGCCCTGTGTGAATAATCATATGGCGTTTTAAATTATACTTCCATTTAAATGACTTATTACATATCTCACACACATGAAGCTTCTTTCCATTGTGAATAAGTAGATGCCTGTTTAAATGAACTGTTAGTCTAAATGACTTGTTGCATACTTCACACACATGAGGTTTTTCTCCAGTATGAATATGCATATGGTCATTTAATAAACACTCTTTAGCAAATGATGCATTACAAACTTCACATATATGAGGTCTCTCTCTTGTGTGACTACGCATATGATTTTTTAAATGTAACTTACGTCTAAATGATTTGTTACATACCTCACACACATGAGGTTTCTCTCCAGTATGAATAAGCATATGGTAATTTAAGTTACACTTTTGAGCAAATGCAATGTTACATACTACACATAAGTGAGGTTTCTCTCCTGTGTGAATAAGTAGATGCTTGTTTAAATCACTGATTTTTCTAAATGACTTGTGACATTCCTCACAAACATGAGGTTTCCCTTCAGTATGAATACTCCTATGGTCATTTAACACACACCTTTTAGCAAATGTCATGTTACAAACTTCACATATATGAGGTCTCTCGCCTGAGTGAACAAGTAGGTGCCTTTTTAAAGCACACTTTTCTCTAAATGAGTTATTACATACCTCGCACACATGAGGTTTCTCTCCTGTGTGAATAAGCATATGATTTTTTAAGCGTAACTTAAGTCTAAATGATTTGTTACATACCTCACACACATGAGGTTTCTCTCCAGTATGATTAAGCATATGGTAGTTTAACCTACACTTTTGAGCAAATGCATTGTTACATACCTCACATATATGAGGTTTTTCTCCTGTGTGAATAAGTAAATGTCTGTTTAAATCACCGATTTTTCTAAATGACTTGTTACATACCTCACACACATGAGGTTTCTCTCTAGTATGAATAAGCATATGATTATTTAATCTATACTTTTGAGAAAATGACATGTTACATAACTCACATACATGAGGTTTCTGTTGTATGTGAATAAGCATACATCCATTTAATTCACCCTTTTACCTAGTTGAGTTTTTACCTACATCATGTAGATGAGAATTTTCTGTTAGGTCGGTAGGCATGAGGAAAAGAATTTTTTTACGGTTATGTACAATATATTTTATTTTGTAGAAATATTATTTCTTACCCTATGACTGTGAAATCTTTAATTATAAATTCATGCAATCATGTTATATATGCTATTTTACCGACTATGGTAAGTTTTATTTTTCTAGAGTTGTTAGTTACCGTTTAACTTGTGGCCTTGGCTACTAACGTTCAAAACTAAATTATGATTAGGAACAGCATGAATTATAATCAAATGGCTAAGTTTATTGCTTTTTTATTTTCCAGCTATCTAAAACGTTTGGATACCAAAACCAAGCAATCATGAATCAAAAGTATTTGCCATTCAGCATAAAGAAACGTTATTATTAATATTAATCACTTATTGCCATTCAGCATAAAAGAAATATAAATATGAATATTAAAATATTAAAGTTAATTTTATAAACGAATTAAACACATGAAAAATATAAAATACTTGAAATAAAAAATAATTATTTCTCATGCAATAACTGAGCCACTACCCTGCTGCCCACCTATTTCGCACGGTAGAGGCGCTTGAGGATACCAGTATTCTCTCAATCTTTAGTAGCAGTCGAACGAGAAGAAGTCGCTTGGTACGTCACTTGTTATTACATATATCGAGATCTCGTCGCACGGTAGGAGGATACGGCCCCTGTTCTTTCTACGGACCTTATCAGCATGCTCCTCACGAAAATGTGAATCATGATTTTTCGTTATACGGGCAGAAAGATATAGAGAATGCAAAACACACCGAGAAATTTATTGCTTTGTAGAATTGTGAAGTGATACCTTAACATCTCTGGAAGAATCGAAACTTCATATAAGCATATTGTGGTGTATATAACTTAGGCAAGGGTGTGCAGAATGCGACCCTTGAAATAAGTTTGTTGTCAAATAATCTGGGGCCGAAGTCTTTGTACAATAGAGTTCGGTAACGCCTCGTATATCACACCCGTTTCCATTCCTGAAGATTTCCTGGCAACTTTTAATCTCTGTGTGTTGTGAAGAGTGAATGAACAAATTTTTTTACAAACTAATATAAAGTTCTTGTTTCCTATTGCATATTGTGTACAGTGAAATGGGGCATTAGCAGTTAACTTCTTGAGTCAGTTAATCGGTAACTAACAGCTCTAGAAAAATAAAACTTAACACAGTCAATTAAGTAGCATGTATAACATAATTCATGAACTAATAATTAATTAAAGATTTGACGGTCAGAGGGCAGGAAATATACAAAATATAACACTTATTTCTCATAATGTATTCATGAAAATCTTGCCATGTATATGTTGCACACTAAATATGTGTCTTCTACACTGTACATATGTATTGTTATTTTTCTAATCGTGTGTATTTCGGCAAGATAATTAAAATTAGTGTGAAGCACCCAACAACTACTTTTCTAAAAACAAGTGTGGGCAAAACAAAAGAACGTTATAAGGTGTGTAGCTACTTGTATGATATCAAAGTAGTCAGATCATACTTTTCTATATAAGGAAGAAATTTCGTTTCTTAGACATATGTTAAATGTCATATAGAGAAGTATTTTTTTTTCCTCATGCTTGCCGACCTAACGGAAAATTCTCATCTACATGAGGTAGGTAAAAACTCAATAGACAAAAGACTGAATCAAATGAGTGTATGCTCATTCATATACAGCAGCAACCTCATTCATGTGAGATATATAAGATGTTTACATTAAAAGCTAAGTTAAACCAGCATATGGTTATCGACACAGCAGAAAAACCTTATGTGTGTGACAAATGTAATAAGTCATTTAGACTAAAATGTGATTTAAACAATCATGTACATATTCACACTGAAGAGAAGCCTCATGTGTGTGATGTCTGTAACATGTCATTTTCTCAAAAGTGTGGGTTAAATGGTCATATGCATATTCATACCATAAAGAAACTCCATGTGTGTGAGATATGTAATAAGTCATTTAGAGAAAAGTGTGGTTTAGAAAGGCATCTACTTACTCACACAGGTGAGAAACCTCATATATGTGAAATTTGTAACACATCATTTGCTAAAAAGTGTAGGTTAAATAATCATATGCTTATTCACACTGGAGAGAAAACTCATACGTGTGAGGTATGTAACAAATCATTTAGACATAAGTTACGTTTAAAAACTCATATTCTTATTCACACAGGAGAGAAACCTCATATGTGTGAGGTATGTAAGAAATCATTTAGACATAAGTCACGTTTAAAATCCCATATTCTTATTCACACAGGAGAGAAACCTCATGTGTGTGAGGTATGTAATAACTCATTTAGAGAAAAGTGTGCTTTAAAAAGGCATCTACTTGTTCACACAGGAGAGAAACCACATATATGTGAAGTTTGCAACATGTCATTTGCTAAAGAGTGTCTTTTAAATTATCATATGCGTACTCATACTGGAGAGAAACCTTATGTGTGCGAGATATGCAACAAGTCATTTAGACTAAATTGTTATTTGAACAGGCATCTACTTATTCACAAAGGAAAGAAACCTCATGTGTGTGAGGTATGTAACAAATCATTTAGTCTTAAGGTTCATTTAAAGAGCCATATGCTCATTCACACAGGAGAGAAACCTCATGTGTGTGAGGTATGTAATAAGTCATTTAAACAGTATTGTAATTTAAAACGCCATATGATAATTCATACAGGACAGAAACTTCATGTGTGTGATAAATGTAATAAGTCATTTAGGCAAATGAGTTCTTTAAACAAGCATATGCGTATTCACACAGAAGAGTTCTTTAAAGAAGCATATGCTTATTGAAACAGGAGAGAATCTTCATGTTGTGTAACAAATAACTTATCATGGAAGAATGGAAAGAGTGCAAAAATAGAAACTTATTTTCTATTGTGGAAAAGTTAGAATTATAACTTTTTCTTATCTGTATAATGAAGGCTTGTTCATGCAGGAAAGAAATTTCATTATATGAGTGGTATGTAACTTATCATTTCATCTAAATTCTTAGTAAATCATTTATTTTTTACAGCAACTGAAAAGCTTGATGTTTGCAAGATATGTCATTCTGAAGCATTACTGACACAAGACAATATTTGTATATGTTTAACATTTAACTAGTAATGAAAGGTTTAAGGCAGGTATGGAAATCTGCTACTTTAAACCTTTCATTCAGATTATTTATTCAGAATTGGATAACCTTTATAGATATTATATTCGGTTGATCTTTACAATATGGTAACTGGTAGTTTGGCGACATTTTGGAGGCGATAAAGGTTACTACCTGGGACTTTGGTAATAATGTGAGCAGTACTCAGTCCGATTACGCATTATTTTGTGGAGGGAAATGAGGAATCATGGGATATGTCATGTGATATTAATGACAAATTACAGTTCTTTAATCGAAAGGGGGGAAATCGGGAAAAAAGCAGGAAATTTTGTATTTGTTTTTCTGTGTTGTGTGAAACAGTGTTGTGAATTTTGGATCCCATGGCCGTACTAAAAAATTTATTGGACAGTAATCAAGATCCTGAAGAAGATGAGGTAAGTTAGTATTTTTAATATTTGAGGATATTATTTTATGCATTGTTCAATGTAAGGTGGAAGTAAGAATTTGGTATTATTGGGAAAATTGTATTAGCAATGATTAGTTTAGTAATTAGGATTGAGGTAATTTTATTAATTAATGATGTGCTCATTATATTTTAAGTAGTGTTTTGATTTAATTATATTTTAATTAAATGATCGTTTTTTGTGAATTTTATGTTTGTAGAATTTGATATACGTTTAAGTTGAAGTAAACGTGCATGGAAATAATTTAAATATTTGATACTAAGATTTGAATGCTTGCGGTATGAATTCGTGGTGACGTGTATAATGTAATAGATGATTTAGAGGTAAAAGTTTTTGGATATTTTATTTATTTATATGTGGAAATGTTCAATTTGGAAAGGGTAAAATATTTTTCGCGATCAGGTAATTCAAATGTCTTTTTACGGTTTTAAAGATTGAGAAAATTGTCATGTATTTTCGTGAAATTTTTAATTTATGAGAAAAAAGCAATGTACATGGATTAGTGAAGAGTGTGGCAATGCCATTTTTGTGCAATTCTGGGATGTTTTTTTTAAGTAAAAATAAGTCGCCGTGTACATGTTTACGTGTATGTTTTAAATAAAGAGTATGGTATTGTGCACTTTGGCAGTGAATATTTTGTTAGCATTGTTAGTTTCTAGCATTGTAATTGGCTAGGGTTGTGGAAGAAAGTTTCAGTAGATAAAAAGAAAAGAAACATGTTTTTACTTCGTGAAGACAAAATGGCGGCGGGAAAAAAAAAATAGAGGGTTGCCGTAGGAGAGTTGGTCGCCAAGAGCCGGTTATCCGAAAACTGCCGATCAACCATTATATTCCTCTCATTTGAAAAATTTCATTTGAATTGTTTGATTCTAAATTTCAGTCATTTTTCACAATAAAAAGTACCAGGATGTGATATATGTTCTGTGGCATCTTTAGTCCTGTAGGGTATTTTTTTGGTATTCTTCTGTATGCGTGTGTGCATGGATGTACCCTATATTCTGGCATATAAGGCACTTTTTTAATGGAATAAGTGGGATCAAAATTTAGGACTGTATTCTATGTGCCAGATATAAAAATATTAGATTCAAAGATAAATTAGCATATAAAAATTAAATTTCTTCATTCTACCTGAATGCTGTTCTGTTAACAGAAATGACATCCTGGAATTCTGTTTCTTTGCAATCATGGTTCTCTGATCCTTAAATAAATAATCATCTTTCTGTTCATGGGGATTGTTAGATACACTACACTCTTTTAATGACTTTTGAATCATGTCTGGTTTAATTTCGTTCTATGCTTTTATTATCCCTCACTCAATATTTGTAGACTATCATGACACATTTGACTTCCTCTTGTAAAGGAAATTTAAGTTTTAAACTTGTTTCATCTTCTACCATCCATGTATTGTATGGCCATTTTAAATTTTCTTTGAATAGTATATTGATGATCACATCTAAAAGCTGAACTAATGGTGTGTATCTACCTGGAATAAGTGTGATGGCTGTATTATTCTTTCAATAATATCCTCCTGATAGCTGTTGGTGGAATACGAACATGTCACAAACGAGAAGACTTTCTGGATTCTTTAAGGCGTCAGGATGGTTTAGTAAGACATTTATTATCGACAGTATCGCACCGTTTCTGTATATCCATTCTTTCTCAGGAATATGAATGAAAATATCATCTGACAAATTACATTTTTGCATCGTCGTTCTTTTGAGAATAATATGAGTTTTAATTTCATGTAGTCCATTAAGCAGGAAAGCTCTATAGGAAGGTGAGATTTTTCGTGTTGTTTTTATGTGAACATTCTTTGTTTCTTTCACATCATTTGTTTTATTTTCTATCATATGGCACATAACTGAAGTTTCATCCATATTTCCAATATGTGACAGTAAATAATTGTTTTGCCTTCATGGGGCAATAAAATAGTTCTGGAAAACTTATCAGTCTGTTGTCAAACTCTTTTAGAAGTCCCCTCAGAGGCTCACTTTTGTGAGTATGGGTGTGGCAATCCCGAGGTACCCTAGCCCTTCAGGGGATCATCTTGTTGAGACGGGTGTCACGATCCTGGAGCCCCAGTGATCTATCCTCTTTTCCGTCTCCTCTCCTCTGACCTGATAATTTTTTTCCTTCCATTCTCCCTTGTGGTTTTCCTCTTCGGAGGTTGGGGCTCGTCACGAGAAACTGGAACAGCCCTTGTCTCTAGTTTTCGAGTGGCGAGAAAACTGCCCACGTGTTTGCCGTGCGTGGAGACCCGTGTCGCTGGAAAGGAGGGTCCTGGTAGTTGAGGGGCGAGGTACTGTCCCCAACACACTGCTTTGGCCTCTGCTTCAGCTAAACGAGAGGCACCTTAGTCGTCCTCACGGGTGTCAATCGGCTGGTCACTAGTCCTTGTGTCAGTGGCTTGGGGTCAAGCTCTCGGGAGTACCTGCTTTCGGGAAAGCCGACTGTGGGGCTTCAGTTTGCGTATAGGTCCGGCTAGCCCTAACACAGGAATCTGTGTTCCTTGTTGTGCTCCGTGGTGGGCAGGGCCATCGGACCCGAATCTATTCTTTTCCAAATATGGCTAACTGTCACAAATTTTAAATCAAAGACTTTGAAGTCAGTCCTGTCACTCCAAGCACCAATTCTGAAAAATCTGCTAATAAAGCACGTACCGATGCAAATTCAAATGACCCTAACAATTGCCCTCGTTTCGTTGTCCTTCTGGCAACATTCAAATGTTATCTCCATTTGTAATTCAGAACTATGTTCATTCGTCCACTGGTCAGCCAAGAAATATAAAGCGTCTCTGATCTGGAGATTTGCTTATCGATACAATTTTGGCTGTACAGTCTGCCTCCCTCCTACGATTAACCAAACTAGGACAAATTGATGTAACAGTATCAGCACACAAAACACTTAACATTTGTAGAGGTGTAATCTGGGAATTTGATGTTCTGTCTGTTTCAGAAGAAGAGTTCGTTTCCGAGCTAGCTGATCAAAATGTCAGTGCTGCCAGGCGGATCAAGATGCATAAGGAAGGTCAGTTGATTGACACAAAACACGTGATCCTGACCTTCAAATCGCCTGATCTGCCTAAGAATATTAAGGCTGGATACCTCAATTGTCCTGTAACCATATATTCCAAAAACCCATGCGATGCTTCCAATTGCCAGCGTTTACGGCCATTCCAAGATGTCCTGTCGTGGCAACCTGACGTGCGCTCGATGCTCGTCGGTTGGTCACGATAGCGATAATTGCACTGCTGCCGCATTGTGTATAAATTGCAAGGGTGATCATCCAGCATTTTCTCGTTCCTGTCCGAAATGGAAATTAGAAAAGGAAGTCCAGACCATAAAAGTTTCTAGGAACATTTCATATGCCGAAGCCAGAAGACAAGTTCAAAGCACACAGCCTCAATCAAACAAATCATATGCCAATGCCGTGAAATCAACACGCACTATAGCCACCCAAACTTCCATAAGTACACAGACTCCACCAAATAAAACCCAGCAGCCTGCAAGCAAGGAAAAAGAAAATCCAACACGTCATACAAAATAAAGAAATAGCAATCCTGAGCAAACCCAAAATTATGCCTCCAAAAATAGAAGCGCCAGCAATAGTTCTGAAGATGGTATTATTTCTGAATCTCTAGATTCAGATAGTATGGAAGTGGAGGAAGAATTAGAAATTCCCGAACATCTGCTTCTGTGGAAAATTAAAAAGCAACACAGAAAGAACAAACATCAGTCGTAATGCCAACCTTGTTTCATTGAACTGTCGCGGTTTCTACCGAAATTTGCTTGACATCAAAGCTGTAATCAGTGCTTATAATCCTGGATGCTTAGAAATACAGGAAACAAGTCTGAAACCAGAACAACAAGCAAAACTTCGGAGTTATTCTTTTGTCAAGAAGGATAACACTGCAGGTGAGCGTGCCAGTGGAGGTGTAGGTCTCCTCACCTCACTGGACTATCCCTCAAGTTCCTTTCCTTTGACGACAGCCCTCCAAGTTGTTGCTGTACAAGTAAATTTTCATATTGTATTTTCATTCGTTTCTATTTATTTGCCTCCTAATGAGCACATTGATCAGCAAGATTTAAATGCTCTTACAGAGCAGCTGCGTGAGCCTTTCATCATAATAGGAGATTTAGGCCATAGTCCGCTCTGGAGTAGTAAAGATACAAATTGCCGAGGAAGACAAATTAAGCGAATAATCGAAGGTCATAGCCTTTGTCTCC